GTGTATTTGTGTATGTGCATACATCCAAGCAATCATACACCAACGTAGCATGCAAACCTACTCCTGCGATCTAACACAAACATTATATACAAAACACACCCCTGCATTTAAACCTTAAAATAGTATACAGGCAACGCCCTTTCAATCAAACACCAACAGTACAAACAAATGTACATCTTCATTTAAAACCAACACTACATAAAAACACACTCCTGCATTCAAATGGCAACAGTACATACTGAAACACGGCAGAGAGAACACTCTGGAATAGTGTGCAAATACCAGGAGCTGACCTGTGATTATGGCTAAAATATGATGGTAATAGAAAATGCAATATAAATATAAAATATAAGACGTACTGTGCCTTTAATAAAATGAATAAATGGAAATGGAAAAAAAATAAATATAAGCAAATACAAAATATAATATTAGGAATAAAAAGGAAGGAATAAAAGGATAAAAATAATGCTAATACAAAAGGATAAAATTGTAACAGATAAAAGCAAAGATAAAAAAAGGAAAATTTGCTTCATACTTACCGTAATTTTCTTTTTCTGATCATTATTCATGGCAGCATTTACTCATGGGTTAGCTCCTCCTCTCACAGCAGAAAGGACAGGAAATAGAACTCTGAAACTGGTATAAATAGATCCTCCCCCTTCCCATCAGGCAGTCTTAATAACTAGCTTCACACCTTATTAAGATAGTATAAGATGTGAAGCTAGTTATCCACACCAGAGCTGGCCATAGCTCCCTCAAATGTGAGTTTTTTACCTCTTCTTATCTGCACATTGAACCACATCAAAATTGAGAGCACTATTGTTTCTTTCTGTCTTTCTTTTCTGAGTTCTGGACTACCAGACGGTGTTGACGGAGACCCCCTCCCTACATATCCCATAAACAGGGATTATACCGCTGTACGCAATCCACACCAGAGCTGGCCATAGCTCTTTTGAATACGCATCCACAGAGGAACTCTATCAAGTATCCTAGACCATCTATTGGCACCCTAGCAATACTTTACTGGACTATCTACCCTTATTTGGCACAGCCCTTCCATATCTTTTTGAATTTCCATATGTCGTTTGCAGACTTTACATGCTGGAAAAACACAGGTGCCAAAAGCGTCTAATAGTGTGCTTACAGCGCAGTGGTAAGCATTCGTATTTTCTGGGTGCTAATCTGCTAAATAGTACATTTTGTGGCCTGCTCTTCATATCTGAGAGTCAAATTGAAGCGTCTAATACTGTGCTTACAGCGCAATTGTAAACATTCTAATTGTTTTGGTGCATAGAACATGCCCCTGCAGCCTCACTGCTCAATCCTCTGCCATTAAGGAGTTAAATCCCTTTGTTTATGAACACTAGTCACACCTCCCTGCATGTGACTTGCACAGCCTTTCATAAACACTTCCTGTAAAGAGAGCCCTGTTTAGGCTTTCTTTATTTCAAGTTCTGTTTAATTAAGATTGTCTTATCCCCTGCTATGTTAATAGCTTGCTAGACCCTGCAAGAGCCTCCTGTATGTGATTAAAGTTCAATTTAGAGATTGAGATACAATTATTTAAGGTAAATCACATCTGTTTGAAAGTGAAACCAGTTTTATTTTTCATGCAGGCTCTGTCAATCATAGCCAGGGGAGGTGTGGCTAGGGCTGCATAAACAGAAACAAAGTGATTTAACTCCTAAATGACAGTGAATTGAGCAGTGAAATTGCAGGGGAATGATCTATACACTAAAACTGCTTTATTTAGCTAAAGTAATTTAGGTGACTATAGTGTTCCTTTAATATACATTTCTATATTGTGTAAAGACACAACTACAAAGTTAAAAACCAAACACCAAAACAACGTGCCAGACAATCTACCTGTAAAATAAGTCTACATCTTAAAAATGCAATAACCCACAGAAGATGGGCGAGAATTTTTTTTGCAAATGGAACTTTGATTCGAATTTACTACATGGGTCACTTGTAATATTGTTTCACACCTACAACACTTGTTACACAGATCTAAGTGATAGAAAACAAATTTATATTTTCTACACTAGAAACTACCAGATAACAGGCTGCTATATTTAAACCAGTGATCAATAGCTAAGAGGTACTTCAACAATATTGTAATTCTGGGGCAATACCTTCACAAGTCAAACTGAGTGGTCAGATTATAGGGAAAACTGTTGCCTTGATACAATTCTAAAACAATTTCCATATGTCCTTTGCAGACTTTACATGCTGGAAAAACACAGGTGCCAACTGCTGTGGCTTTCTGCAGTGTGCATACCGGCAAGAAGGGCAGGGTGGAGGAGTGGGTGGAAGATGATGTGGAGGATGATGAGGTCCTAGACCCCACATGGAATCAAGGTCATGCAAGTGACGCGTGCAGTTTGGAGGAAGAGGCGCTGGTCGCACAGGGGCACCAGCACAGCATAAGAGGGAGTAGGGTGCAAAAGCGGAGTGGCCGTCCCCTAGTGCTCGTCGGCATGTACTAGCTTGAGAATTACCAGTTATCCAAGTAATACATGTAGCAATCAAAGGATCCATAATAGACTTGGATCGTAACTTTGGCCTTCCCACTCACCGCCTCATGAGACTGTGCGAGCAGCAGCAGGCGATAGTGGAGTTTCAGCTGCAGCACGCACGGGTCAATGGCTCTGCACCAGACTTCCCTCCAATTGATCAGAGTTAAAGGATTTCAAGTGGACTCATTACAATTACAGGACCTCAAAAGAGTCCTGTATTATTTGTCGTCACTACCTTCCCGCGTCGAGAGTGGGTCAGTTGCGTGCCTGCTGCCTTCCTTGCATGTGGTAGCCGTTTCTCAGGGTCCCTGTACGGAATGGAACCCTGATTCCCAGTTACCCGTTGTCACCATGGTAGGCGCAGAAACTGGCATTGAAAGTTATTATGGATGGCATCCGCATGCAAAGTCGCCGCCACGGGGATGTGCGATTTGCCCGAGGTTCTCTAGAGTCAACAAAGTTCCTGCGCAACTATAATGTCAACAGCTACTCTGCGGAACAGAGTTGTCTTTTTTTTTTTTTTTTTAAATCTGTTTTTATTGAGAAGTAGTTCAAACAGTCAATACATATGTTAAGAAGATTTGCAGATTGGAACACGCAGGTCTCCAACATACCATCAGTTTAGGATACTAATCACATCGTGTTAAGGTTCTCGATTGTGTCGGGAATCAAAGCTGTAATTTGGTCCACAGGTTTTTTGTTTGTTTTTTTGGGGGGCTTATTAGCCGAACCTTATCCATGTTTCCCATTCCGTACCTCTCCGAGGGGCACAGAGCACCTATCTCCGAAACTAGTGTTTGTTCTCAACATGCGATCTGTTTGGCGATGTTTGGCGTTTTGTCGTCCCCGTTAATTTATTATGTGCCAATTTGATATTTGTTCCCTTTTATTCGGTCTAATGGGGAAGCGGTTTTTGCTGTTATTTGGGGAGTTATGTGACTGATTTCTAGGATGGTCAAAGGTGGTGTTCCAAGGCTGTTAGGCATTTTCCCTGCTGCGTTTTGCGATCTGTGTGTTATGTGCCCACTGGTGGTGGGAGGGTTCTGTTGCGTGAGTTGTATAATGTGTTGCATCAACTATATGGTGTGACGTGTTTTCGATGGGAGGTAGTTCTCTCTTCTGTGCGTCAGATTTTCCTCAGTCTTTCCTAATCAAAGTATGGGTGTGAGGAGAACAGTGGTAGATGTAGGATGAAGATAAAGATAGGAGGGGGAAGAGGAGATAGAGCTGGGGGAGCAGTGTATGGTCTATGCTATGGGGGAGTCGGGGCCCGTGCGCCGTTCCCGCCCCCGGGTTCCCCTCCTGTCCGCAGGTATTGAGAAATATACATAAGTATACATAATATACGGAGTGCCTCCGCCCCCTGAATGTCCTCCACTCGCCTGATCCACTCTTCCTTCGTCGGGATCTCCATCTTTTTCCAATAGGCCGGTATGGAGGAATTAGCTGCGTTTAGCAGATGGCGCATGATTGATTTTTTGTAGTTCGATATCGGTTGTTGAGAGAGATGTAGGAGTGCGAATTCTGCAGACCATTCTGGGACTTCTCCCAGTACCTGGGATATCTCAGTTTTTATCATTTCCTAGTACGGGGCTATGTCGCTACATTCCCACCAGATGTGTGGCAGTGTACCTCTTTCTGTTTGGCATCTCCAGCACGTTGGTGGGGTTGTTGGGAAGATTCGGTATATCACGGTTGGCGTTCTATACCAGAAGGAAATCAGTTTATAGTTGACCTCCTGGTAGTAGGAGCTCATTGAGCTCTTATGTTGCCAAAGTATCGTTCTACCAAGCGATTCTACCAAGCGATTCCTCCCACTGCCTTCGGAATGTGTTATTGTCCATGCGGCCAATCATGACTAAATGTTGGTATAGTATGGATACTGCGTGATCCAGTTCAGAGCCTTGCTCGCAGAGCCCCTCGAGCCATGTTAGCTCCCTATTTAATTGTTCTCTATGTGTGAGAGTAGTATAGTATTGTTTTAGTTGCATGTATCGGAGCGTAATGAGTGCGGTCCGTGGTCTACCCTCCAACAACGCATCCAGATCTCAGAGCCCACTATCCTCTAGGGCCCTTCATATGGGAAGATAGTCTTCATCGCCCAGGAAGCTCCAAGCTCTAGCTGGCAAGCCTCCGCCTATTCTGCTATTATGCGTCATCGGTAGAAGGGGGCTGGGTGTTGGCGAGATGTGTGGCTGTTCCCTTAGAGATTTCAAGCCGCATAACGTTTGTGCCACCAGTCAGTCGCCCACTGCTCGGTCTCTCGGGCCCTTCCCCCCCCCCCCCCACAAGATCATAAGATCATAGTTTTCAGTGTCTTTTCATTAATTGCTTTGTCTAAGGATACCCATTGCTTCTGTGTGGGTTCTTTATGCCACCATTGCTTGATGATATTTTTTAAAATCCAGCAGTGCCAGTCCCCAATTGGGTCTGGGGAGGCAGAGTATATTGTGCCGTAATCAGGATCGTTCGCCTCACCACGTGTAGTGTATGACTGCTGTTTTCAGGGAGGAGAAGAATGTTGCTGGTGGCGTGATGGGTATGGTTTGCATGAGATATAGGACTCTAGGGAGCACATTCATTTTGAGCACCGCTATGTGCCCGTGCCAGGTTATGTGAGGGAGAGCCCATATAGTCAGGTCTGCAGTTATTGATTTTAGTAGGGGTTGAAAGTTATGCGCATACAGTTGTCTGGGATCCGTGGGCACCTAGATGCCCAGATATTTCATTTTACCATGACACCATCTGAACTCTAATTGTGGTTCCAGGGCCATATATTCGTCAATGGGCATCGTCAGGTTCAGTACTTCACATTTCATCAGATTTAGTTTGAACCCGGACAGGTTACCTAAGCGTTCAAACTCCGCAAGGAGGTTTGGCAGGGTCAGACGGAGTTGTTTGATTGAAAAAAAGCAAATCGTCTGTGTAAGCCGCAACTTTATGGGTCATTCACTGTCCCTCATAACCCTGAATATCTGGGTTCATGAGTGGTTCGAGAGACAGTGCGAACAGCAGTGGGGAGAGTGGACACCCCTGCTGCGTTCCGTTTCTAATCGCAAAGTCATCTGTCCGTGCCCCGTTGACCCTCACCGCTGCCCTCGGGTTGCTGTATATGGTAGATATCCAAATTAAGAGTTTGTGTCCCAGTCCCATCTCCCTCAGTGTGGATGTCATGTACTGTCAATTGACTCGGTCGAATGCCGGGGGGGGGGCCCGTTGTCATCCCACCACCCCTGTCATCCCCTTGCAGATGACCTCTGCTATGGTAGGTTTGCTATGATACAAGGGCAGTGCTTATTTGAGTTACCGTGCTCCGACCCTATCCCCGGCTGTCCCCGCTAGCTCCATACCCCCCTCCATTTCCATAGAAACATAGTGTCCCCCCGCCCGCCGTGCCCCGGGGTCCCAACACTCCAGAATTTTTAACAACCAGTGTGCAGTTTTAAGCATTAATACATAGTGCGTCAACGTTCGGCAATATTTTAAGATAGACCTAATACTTGTATACACCAGCAGGAGGATACAGGTCAGGGGTGATCCCCTGCATGAGTGATAGTTACGTTTTGTCCCGAGAGGGGGCCATGCGGGTGTTCGGGCCAGAGAGTCCCAGCTATCCTACAAGGGGGATTTTACCTGGTTCGCAACACTAGGCCTCGTGATGTGATACTTTTCCAGGCCGCCTGGGGCCCAGGCTCTTCCTTTAATCACAGGGGTAGAAGGGAAGAACAAAGGGTTCCCCCTGAGGGGTAGAGGTTTGTTGCGGTAGTGTCGGTCCAGTCCCCCCTTCCAGTAATCCCCCTCCCCAATACATGTCCCTATGCCCTTGTGTCCAGGCAGTGTGGGACCAAGCATGGCATCCCCAGCGGGAAGGTGCATCGTGTGTACTGAGGTCGGGGGCCCCTTCTTTAATATCAGGTCCCTGAACCTCCCTCCCAAATCCCGCAAAAAAGTGTCTGCCATGGGTGGTAGTTTGCGGTATGAGTCCATTGGTAGCTCATGTCCGTTGGGGAGCTAAAGGAGTCCCCCGTGTGCGTTCCACGTATGCTCAACCGGAGGGGTCAGCAGTGACGTGCCGGGCATACCGGGGAGGATGTTAGTCATTGTCCCCGGGTGTGTCGGCATCGTGGGGAGGCTGCAGGTAGCCAAGTGTACTCATTCATTCCTCCGGTGCCGCTGGGTGTCTGCGCCTCTGGGATGGGTGTCCTGCCGGTGCACCCGCTTCTCTCCTCCGATTTGATCTATGAGGTCTTGGCGGTGGGCCTAGGGGTCCCAGGATCCAGTTGGTGACTAGTGATGTCGTGAACACGAAATTTTCGGTTCGCGAACGGCGAACGCGAACTTCCGCAAATTTTCGCGAACCGGGCGAACCGCCATAGACTTCAATGGGCAGACGAATTTTAAAACACACAGGGACTCTTTCTGGCCACAATAGTGATGGAAAAGTTGTTTCAAGGGAACTAACACCTGGACTGTGGCATGCCGGAGGGGGATCCATGGCAAAACTCCCATGGAAAATTACACATTTGATGCAGAGTCTGCTCTTAATCCATAAAGGGCATAAATCACCTAACATTCCTAAATCACAATGGATATGGATTGACACCTGACATATGACATATTGACACCTTGACATATGGATTGACACCTGTCCAGAGAGCCCCTGATACACACTGACACAGAGCAGAATAGAGACTGTTCCTCCTACATAGGGTCACTTGGCAGATATGGATTGACACCTGTCCTCAGAGCCCCTGATAAACACTGACACAGAGCAGAATAGAGACTGTTCCTCCTACATAGGGTCACTTGGCAGATATGGATTGACACCTGTCCTCAGAGACCATGATACACACTGACACAGAGCAGAATAGAGACTGTTCCTCCTACATAGGGTCACTTGGCAGATATGGATTGACACCTGTCCTCAGAGACCATGATACACACTGACACAGAGCAGAATAGAGACTGTTCTCCTACATAGGGTCACTTGGCAGATATGGATTGACACCTGTCCTCAGAGCCCCTGATACACACTGACACAGAGCAGAATAGAGACTGTTCCTCCTACATAGGGTCACTTGGCAGATATGGATTGACACCTGTCCTCAGAGCCCCTGATACACACTGACACAGAGCAGAATAGAGACTGTTCCTCCTACATAGGGTCACTTGGCAGATATGGATTGACACCGGTCCTCAGAGAACATGATACACAGTGACACAGAGCAGAATAGAGACTGCTCCTCCTACATAGGGTCACTTGGCAGATATGGATTGACACCTGTCCTCAGATAACATGATACACACTGACACAGAGCAGAATAGAGACTGTTCCTCCTACATAGGGTCACTTGGCAGATATGGATTGACACCCGTCCTCAGAGACCATGATACACACTGACACAGAGCAGAATAGAGACTGTTCTCCTACATAGGGTCACTTGGCAGATATGGATTGACTGTTCCACCTTCATACACACTATTGGATCTCGCAAAACTTACCAAGGATCTAAATCATGTTCCCGTATCGTACATGAAAAACCTACTCATACAAAATCTCTTCCAAAACATCATTTATTTCAAAGTGGAGAGAATGTTAAAAAATATATATTTTTGTTCTGAGTGTGAGAAATTCTTTTCAGCCGCTTCTAATCTTAAGCATCATTTGAGGAGCCATACAGGAGAGAAACCTTATTTTTGTTCTGATTGTGGGAAATATTTCTCTCAAAGAGGCCACTTTTATATTCAATCTATAACAGTGAAAAAAGTTTTTTGTTTTTAAATGCAAGCTATTGTGACACCAGATATGAGTGGCACTGTGAACTGGCAGAGTACACGTTGTAGGCCTGACACACCCGCTTGAGACAACTAACTGCTATTCAATCTATAACAGTGAAAAAAGTTTTGGGGTTTTAAATGCACGCTATTGTGACACCAGATATGAGTGGCAAAGTACACTGGCAGAGGTCTGCAGAGCACACGCTGAAGGAGGCCTGACACCCGCTTAAAGGACATTGACTGCTATTAGCTTACACTGAAAAACTTTTTTTCTTTGTAAAAGCATGCTATAGAGACACCAGATATGAGTGGCAAAGTACACGGGCAGAGGTCTGCAGAGCACACGCTGAAGGAGGCCTGACACCCAGACGCTTGCAGACAACTAACTGCTATTCAATCTATTATAGTGAAAAAAAAAATAATTTCTTTTTAAATGTCAAGCTTAAGCTATTGTGACACCAGATATGAGTCGTGGCACTGGGCAAATGGGCACAGTATTCACTGTGAGCCTGACACACCCACTTTAAGGACACTGACTGCTATTCAATCTATAACAGTGAAAAAAGTTTTTTGTTTTTAAATGCAAGCTATTGTGACACCAGTGAGTGAGTGGTGGCACTGGCCACAGTATCCACTGTGAGCCTGACACACCCGCTTTGAGAAAACTAACTGCTATTCAATCTATAACAGTGAAAAAAGTTTTTTGTTTTTAAATGCAAGCTATTGTGACACCAGTGAGTGAGTGTTGGCACTGGGCACAGTATCCACTGTGAGCCTGACACACCCACTTTAAGGACACTGACTGCTATTCAATCTATAACAGTGAAAAAAGTTTTTTGTTTTTAAGTGCAAGCTATTGTGACACCAGATATGAGTGGTGGCACTGACTGGGCAAATGGGCACAGTATCCACTGTGAGCCTGACACAGAAGCTGGCAGCAGTGGCAGACAACTAACTGCAATTACATTACACAGAAAAAAAAAAAAAAGCAGACTGATGTTCTAGCCCTAAAAGGGCTTTTTGGGGTGCTGTCCTTACAGCAGAGATCAGATGAGTCCTTCAGGACTGTAGTGGACACTGTATACCCTAACCTAGCTATGCATTTCCTTATCTAATCAACAGCAGCTACACTTTCCCTCCTCTCACTAAGCATGCAGCTTGAGAATGAATGTAAAATGGATGCTGTCCAGTAGGTGGGAGGGTCTGCTAGGGAGGGTGTGCTGCTAATTGGCTGGAATGTGTCTGCTGACTGTGAGGTACAGGGTCAAAGTTTACTCAATGATGACAAATAGGGGGCGGATCGAACTGCGCATGTGTTCGCCGTCCGCGGCGGACGCGAACACGCTATGTTAACCGGGAACTGTTCGCCAGCGAACCATTCGGTGCATCACTATTGGTGACCTGGACAGGCGTGAGGCCTAGCTCCTCCATAAATCGTGGCACCTCTTCAGGCCAGCACAATGACACCCATCCATTACGGTGGCGTGCCTTTAAGGCAAACGTGAAGCCCCACTTGTAGGTGATGTTGCGGTCTCGCAAGACAGCCGTCACTGGTCTTAGTGCCCGGCGTGCTTCCAGTGTGATGGGGGAGAGGTCGTTATATAGAGATACTTGTGCTCCTCTGTAGGGCCAAGTTGGTCATTCGCGTGCCTTGCGCATGATGGCCTCCTTTACGGGGAAGGAGTGTAGACAGCACGCCAGGTCTCTTGGGCCTTCCTCTAATGACCTCGGTCTCAGCGCTCTGTGTGCCCTCTCGAATTTGAAGCGTTGGGGGGTCGCCGCTTGTAGCAGCATGTGGAATAGCTTGGTGAGGACTGCTTCTGCATTTTCCTCACCGTCAGACTCGGGTACTCCGCGGATTCTGATGTTGCAGCACGGCCCCCTGTTGTCTAGATCTTCGATATGTCGTTGCATAGTCGGGCTACTGCAGTGTCCGTTGCGGTAGGTTTGCTATTCTGCGCTTCCTGTGCCTGCTCCAGTGTCTGGATGCGGCCTGCTTGAGTGGTGACTTCAGACCTGATGCCTGCTATCTCCCTCCTCAGCGTGTCCTGGATGGTGGTGATGAGGTTGTGCAGGTCCACTTTGGTGACCATGGAGGCAGTTAGGGTCCACAGTTCCTCCCCAATATGGTCGAGAGCCGTGCTCTCGGAGCCCGCCGGCGAGGTCGGCGCCATCTTGGGGCTTCCCACTCCGCCGTCCGCTGCAGCTGCAGAAATCCATCCAGGGGGCCTTGATGTGCGCCCCTCGGTGTTTGGGGGGCCTAGGGGCGTCGGTTGCAGCCCATTTACTGTTCGTGGCGGATTATCAGGTGCTGTAAGGGGCCCGGTGAAGCGGAGCACTCCGTTTATGCGGCCATCTTGGTTAGAGCCAGAGCCATGCCCCTGAGTTGTCTTTTTTTATATGTCCCAATATTTTGGGGGCTACCCCAATTAAAATATATATATATATATATATAACGGTGTTGGCTTCCTCATCCTCCTCCACCGCCACGGTCACCGCCTCCTCAACCTATGGGTCACTTAGTATAAACTAGGTACACATTAGCAGAGGCTTGTGAAGGCCTTTTCTCCATGCATCAGGAGTTGAGCATTTCTCCATGCACCAGGACTGCAAGAAATGCACCGCAGGCCGCAAATGTTTCTTTTGTTGTATGTCCCAATAATTTGTGGGCTACCACAATTAAAAAAAAAAAAACATAAAAAACAGTGTTGGCTACCTCATCCTTCTCTTCCACCTACACCGACACAGTCACCGCCTCCTCAACCTATGGGTCACTTAGTATAAACTAGGTACACATTAGCAGAGGCTTGTGAAGGCCTTTTCTCCATGCATCAGGAGTTGAGCTCAGTTTGAACAATGAAAGAGAATACCCTGCACTCCAACCCTCTCTCAAATGGATAATTCTGGTGATCCTCCTGACAGCCATGCTTTGAATTTTGATTTATGTTCTTCCAAAGCTAAAATCAAATTTTCCATCTAGTGCTATTTTATGGCTCAGCTGTATTTTTATTTTGTTGTTATTTTAAGTCATTTCCCTATCCACATTTGTTTGCAGGGCACTCTTACCCCCATTGTATTTGCTTTTGCAGCTCTCTAGCTCTTAACAGGGGTTAGAGGCATTTTTGTGGCTAAAAGTTTGGGTCCCCATTGACTTAAGTGGGGTTCCGGTTCCGGGTCAAGTTCCAGCCCGAACCCGGACTTTTTTTCAAAGTTAGGCTGAAACCGCCGGACCCGAACATCTAGGTGTCCGCTCAACTCTAATCAAGACGTTTCATCATTTACAAGAATGTGGAGAAAAAAAATCACCCCAGCTCTGATGCCACTTAAACAACATAATATAAGATACCGTTGGGGGCCTAACAGAACAATAACAGTGTTCTGGAGAGATACAAAGAAAATGTTCGCTGAGGCAAGGGAATTGGAGGAAGGGACAAAAGAACAAACAAAATGAAAAGGAACAGAGGTACACAATATAGAGTATGATCAGCACAGATACAAAGAAAGGAAAATAAAGAGAGAGAAAGAGAAAGGGAAAATGGAAATATTTAAAGAAAAAAGAAAAAGGCACATGTTTACACAAAAAAAGAGTGATCACAAAATATATAGCACTTTTAGTTTATGTGAGACATGGAAAGGAATGGGGAATATATAGAAAAAAAATGACTTTTTAGGTGGATTAAGTTCAAAGGGGGTGAGATAAGAGAGCAATATTATATAAAACAAAAGAAAATAAGCACACAATTCTAAGGGTAATATATAATAGTGTTAGATAAATAATAATCTTTTGTAAAAATGGGTGTGTTTATTTTAAAAGAAAATTATAATTTTATTTCAGTGGTAAGCCCTTTCTTTATGCTCCCTCTTTTGGTAGGCACTTAATGTCTAAACCTCTATATCCTTAGCTACAGTTCTTTAATGGCCAGAACTGGATAAATGAAATTTATTATGGAAGTTGCTGGCCAAGGTCAACCTCTTAAAATATCCCTGCTTGGAGATCACTTAGTAGATCTCAGCTCTTGGCATTAGGGGGTACTATATCAAGGAATGCATTAAGAGGGAGGTTGGAGGCACCTCCTTCTGTAAGTGAGAATGTATGTGGTTCCCCCTTTTTTATAGGGGAACTTGTGTGTTGTCTAGAAGTTTTTTTGTGTTGAACCTGTGAGGAAAGCTGAGACTGGGATAAGGAGTAAATGAGAACGATAGAATTCTGAAGTGCATCTCTATGAATATACAGGGTTTGAATACCCTGAAAACTAGATGGAGATATGAGATGTACGAAGACGTTATACAGGCATCTCTTGAGAGAAAAAAAAAGGATTTCCTATTATCTTCTCAAAATGGCTTAATAAAGAGATAATATACACAGATGTAGATAACGAAGGAAGATATCAAATCCTAGTTTGTAAGATAGACTCTGTAAAATACAATTTTGTAAATCTCTATCTGCCAAATGTATGACCAACAAATTATCTAAAAAAGATTATGGATAGAGTAGAAAAAGTTAAAATGGGAATGTTGGTAATTACAGGTGACTTTAAATGTGTTCCGGATACAGGATTAGATAAAAAAAAAAACCAAAGATAATAGAAAAATAAGTAACCAATTAAAGAAACAATCTAACATTCTAATAAATATTCTGAAAGAAAATAACTTGTTGGGTATATGGTGAGTCTATCATGTAAAAGAAAACAAATTTACATATCGTTCTAGAGTACACCATTCATTTTCTAGAATTGATCTGGTTTTGGGAGAGAATAGTTTAGTAGAACAAATCCTGAAAATTATAATAAAGGAGAATCCATGGGCGGATCATGGCTACAGCTTTTTCGATATAAAAGATTTAAAAAAATACATACTTAGCGCCAGGATGATAATATCCTTTCCAGAATGGAAGATCAAAAATATATTAGAAACTTAATAGAATTGTATTTCAAAGAAAATAAAATGGAAGGAATGTCTTATGCAATGATCGGGTGTGCTTTTAAAGCTGTAGTAAGGGGATATTTGATAAAACTTAAAAGTAAAATCCAAAAAGTAAAAGGAGCCTCAAGGGAAGAGCTATATATAGAATATTATGTTATCTTAAAATAATAAAAAAACATTTAACCAGTGAAACGATAAAACAATTAGATAATCTTAAAGATAAAATAAACAAAATAGAAATAGAACAAATTAATAAGAATTTAGAGAAAATTAAAATAAATTTTAACCATGATAACAACAAAATAACGAAATGGTTAACTAATAAGTTTAAAATGAAATCAGGGAAAAACAGGATAACATGAATCAAAAAAGACAAGACAATATATATATATATACCCCTGAAACAATAGTGAGCATTTTCCAAACTTATTATGAAGAGCTATATCCAATGGTGTATCCTGGCTTTGTGCTGCCCTAGGCAGGACAAAATTCAGACACCCCCCTCCCCCCGCACCACCTCCACCCAACCCTTCCCCCCGTCCCACCTTCTAAATACACACACACACACACACAAACAGTCAGACACACACACAGTCAGACACAAACACACACAGTCAGACACAGACACACACACACACAGTCAGACACACACACAGTCAGAACACACACAGTCAGACACACACACACACACACAATCACTCACATTAACACTTTTTTTTTTTTTTACCCCCCCCAGCCTCCTTACCTTTGGGAGTGCTGGGGGGGTTCCTCTTTCTCCCTGGTGGTCCAGTGGCTTCCGGGCAGGCTGGTGGGTGGCTCTGGGCGGGTGGCGAGGGAGCTCTTCCTCTGAGCTGACTGCTCAGCTCCCTTGCGCGTTGCAGAGTGAGGCTGGGAGCCAGGTTGATGATGTCATATTCCGGCTCCCAGCCTCACTCTGCGGTGCGCGAGGGAGCTGAGCAGAGTGCTCAGAGGAAGTGCTCCCTTGCCAGCTGCCCGTCCGACCATCAGCCGGCGCCGCCCAGCGTCCGCCATGTCAGTTAGCCACCAGGCTAACAAGGCATTTGCCCTGGGCATTTGGGGGCGGCGTTTTTTGCCGTCCCCTGAAAAATGCCGCCCAAGGCAAATGCCTTGTTTGCCTCGCGGCTAATACGTCCCTTGCTATATAATATACCAAAACAACCTGAGGGACATCAAATATCCAATATTTAAAGTACATAGAATTTCCTAAAATAACACATGAACAAAATAACATCTTACTAATGCAGAATTTAAACAGGTCATTGAAAAAATAGAAAAGTTTAAAACTCCTAGCCCAGATGGTCTGACTAGCAGATTTTATAAGGTTTATAAGGATATATTATCGGAACATTTAGTAAATACTTTTAGTGTGGAAAAGGGTTCCGGGCCAAAAGAAATGTTATATGCTAATGTTTACCGATATTAAAAAAGGATAAGGTCCCTCAAAAACTTAAGAATTACTGTTTGATTTCCCTAATAAATGTAGATTCTCAGCTGTTTTCAGCAATTTTGGCAGGTAGGATAAAAATACTGCTTCCTAGCCTGGTTCATAAAGATCAGATTGGTTTTGTTACCACTAAACAGGCAATTAAAACTATATATCAAGAACCAATGGCTAGGGTGGTGGGAGTAGATCTATGTTCCACTTGTTTTTTGTTAGGTAATGGCACCCACCAAGGTTGCCCTCTTTCACCAATACTATATATACTATCTATGGAGTCTCTAGCAATAAGAATAAGGGCAAATCCCTGTAGTAAGGGGATTCCAACAGCCTCTAAAGAATTGAAGCTGTGTATGTATGCTGACAACACTATAATGACCCTAACCGATCCAGTTGTTTCTGTTTCTCATTTGATGGATGAGATAACGCAATATAGTGAAATAGCTAACTATAAGATAAATATAGATAATTCTGTGGTTATGTTTAAAAATTGTGATGTTGATATAAAAAACCATCAATACTAGATATATATGGCTTTAAAGAAGTTAAAAGGAGCTTTGAATATTTAGGTATAATCCTATAGGATAAAACAAATAGAATTGTAGAAGATAATTTCTTGAAACTGATTAAATCAACAAATCTATCTCTAAAAAAAATTGAATACTTTGCTATTGAGTTGGCTTGGAAGAATTAATATCATCAATGCTTACATAATACCCAAGTAGTCCTATTTTTTATTTATTTTTTTTATTTTTATTTTTTTTAATGATTCCACTAAGGATACCTGACAGC